ACTGCTGCCACCCAGTGCTCCTGCCTCTGATGCAGAGGCAGCAGCGCAGGGCAGCAAGGGCTCCTGGGGAGTGAGGCCGGAGCGCGCTGGCTGCCAGCCCCATCCCCAGGGACTCTAGAATAGTCGACGAACCGAATAGTCATTTAACTTCATGAATCCTTTTCACTTAAGTGATAATTAACATCCCTAATTGGGAGGCGGAGGAGAGCATGTGGCAGTGCCGTAGCACCGCTGGGAGCGGGGGTAGAAATGGTAGCAAGGAAGCTTGCCCTCCGGCCTGCAAAGAAGGAGGCTGCTCCGACATTGGGGAGCTTTTAAAGCTCCAGGTTCAGCCCGAAGTTGGGCTGCCCCAGCCTTGGCTTTCAGAACTGGTGAAACCCGGCTGCGTGCAGAAGGCTCAGCTGAGGACCTGAGCTGTCTTGGGAGAATTGTGCACTGTTCTAACGGGGGAGAGGGGCTTGGAGATCCGGGTCCTCTCTGCTGGGTGGGAGCATCCTGCGGAGACTGGCCATGTTAGGCCGGTCGCGCCTGCACCGATTGCTGGAGAGCTGCCTCCTGTAGCTTGCTCCCGGGGGAGTTTGGCACCACTGAGCAGCGCAGCATTTCTGCTCTGTGTAGGATTTCACTGATTCCCTGCAGGGGCTGCTGCTGGGGGCCACTGGACCCAGCAGAGCCTGGCTCCCAGCTCGCGGGGTGCCTGAGAGGGAGGCCTGGCAGGCCTTGAACAAAGGAGGTGGGAGGAGGGCTGAAGCCCCTCGTACTGGGAGGCCGTTTGCTCTCTTCCCCCTTCCCTGGTTGTTAGGGAGCGAGAGGAAAGCGCACGCTTTGGGCCGCTTACTCCCAGCTGGGGGGGGGGAATTCATGCAAGCTGCATACTTTCCTCTCGCTCCCTGATCGTGAGGGGGAAGGGGAGGGCGTTAGCCCCTCTGCCCTCCCTAACCGGCGCCCTGACATGTTGGTTGCGGAGGCCGTTTGCTCTCTTCCCCCTTCCCTGGTTGTTAGGGAGCGAGAGGAAAGCGCACGCTTTGGGCCGCTTACTCCCAGCTGGGGGGGGGGAATTCATGCAAGCTGCATACTTTCCTCTCGCTCCCTGATCGTGAGGGGGAAGGGGAGGGCGTTAGCCCCTCTGCCCTCCCTAACCGGCGCCCTGACATGTTGGTTGCAGCCGTGCACTGAGTGGAGTCTCGCTCGGTGGGGAGGGAGGCCCGTTGGTTCTGTGCATACCGACTGCCAGGTCCAATTCTCCTCTGCAGGCTGGGAGACCCAGCTGCGCCAGGGTAGGGCGACTGACCTCCCATCCGGACAGTAGGATTTTGGGGTGCAGATGACCGGGCTGGAGTAGGCCGCCAGCTCTCCTGAAATGCCCTCTGCACACGCACACCCATCCCCCCTCCTTCCCCTTCCCCAGCAGCCTCCTCTCTTTGCAAACTTGAGTTGCGGTAACCTCACGGGGGCAGGGCAAAACCCGGAATCAACTGCAAGACTGGAGGGGCAACATTCCCCCCCCTCGATGTGCCCAGCGGGCCAGTGTGACACGCTCAGACTGAGATGCCCCACAAACGCGTCCCAGAGCCACAAGAACGGGGTTGTCCCTGGGGTGCCTTGACCTCTCGACTCCTGGGAGAACGGCTCTTGTCTGCGCTGTTAGACACGCGCGCCGATGGGGATTTGGAAATAATCAACGACCGAACTAAGTGAAGCTGCTCTGCTGACGTCGTGGCGTTTGGACACCTACAATCGGCGGAATTTTAAAATGTTGGCGCGCGGGACTTCTCGGTTTTGGTGCGGATTCTCCCTGCCCGGGATGCTAGCTGTCCTCTCGGCCGGAGAACGGACTCTTGCAAGGGATTCAAATCGTGTTTTGCCCGGTTTTCCTGGCTGTTGCAGGCTGCAGTTCAGTGACAGGCAGCTTTGAAGGGCCGGGAAAGCCGTTCCCTGCCAGGGATGACCGCTCAGCCAGCTGCCTGGAATCCCTTTGACACTCTCGCCTGTGCGCAGGTGGAAGCACAGTGCTGTTTCCCGCCACTTCTCCCTCTGCTTCACAGGCTTCCTCAAATGTCAGCCTACAGGAGGTCGTGGCTCTTAGCTTCTGCGCTCCAGTTGGGGCGCCGGAAATCCGAGGCCACCTCCTTTTCAAGAGCAGGCTTGTTGTCTCAGCCAGCGAGTTAAAGGGCTGTGCATTTACTAGGCCTCTTTCCGGAGCTACGTAGTCATGTGCTAGAAGGGGGCAGATGTCTCCCACAATTTGGCCGCTCTGCTAGCTTCTGAATGCTGTGACGTCCTGGGCAGCCTGGCCCGTGGGGTGCAGGCCCACACCTCTGTCTGCTCACGTGCTTGTTCTGCCGTGTTCTCACAGGCAGGCAAGTGGCAAATATCCTGGACTGAGGGCGGGATGGCTCTTGTGTGCAGCACCGCGCCTTCCTTAAAGGAGGCAGTGGATCGGGTAACTAGGCCTCGCGTCCGGATCCTGAGTTGAGTGGTGCTGAGCTTGGGGATGAGTGAGAAATGAAGGGGGAGAGTGGAGTCTAGTGGCCAGAGCACAAGAAGAGGAGATCTGGGGTTAGGCCAAAATACTAATTCCGGCATCAGGGATTCCCCTGGGTTACGGTGTTTGGTCGCACACGGGCACCTGCGGGATGCAAGTCGTTGTGCTTTACAAGAGTCTGTGTTCTAGACACACCACACCCGTGTCGCCAGCACGTGGCTGGTCACAAAAGGTCTGTCTCCGTTAATTACTCGGGCGCTCTCAGGTAGCGTGTTCAGTGGTTGCTTCTGGTGTAACTAACAAGGTGGGTCCCACTACAGGTTGGATGTCCCTGGGCTGGCGCCCCTGGGATCTGACCGGTCCCAAGGGAGATCTGGGGGCGGGGGGAGATGCCAGCTTCCCTGCTGGGCTACTCTTGGGCTCCTCTCTCCAGACTCTTGGCCCTGTGAGCTGCAGCTCCTAGCCCTGCCCCCCGGCCAGAGTCCCAGCAGCCCCCCTGGCTGCAGGCTCTGCTGCCTGTGAGCTCCCCCCAGCAAAGGAACGGCTGGCGGACCCCGGGGCCTGGGAGCTGGGCTTTGGCTGCGCAGTGATTCCCCTCAGACTGCCGGCAGGAGGGAGACTTCCGCTTGTGATCGGAGGTGAGGGGTGTTCAATCCAATTGCCAGTAACCTCTCCTGTGGCGGGGAGCACCAAGAGGCAGGAGGCTCTTCCTGGCTTAATCGGATAATCGGAGCTTGTAAGCAGAGCTTTCAGGTCCTCCAGTGGGGCGTGGCTAGGGATCCGCTTCGGAGCCGGAGGAAACCCTTCTGCTAGACAAGTCAGAGATTTCTTTGTTGAAAATCTTGTCAAGGCTTTAAAAAAAAATCAAAAACCAGCAGTGGAGTGAATCCCAGAAGCAGGGGTGTTACATGCATGTAAGTGACAGTGTAGCTGCTGAAAATGTCAGCGGTCACAGGCAGGCGGCAGGTGGGGGAATTGCTTCCGCGGGGCGGTTCCACTGGGCCACTTTTCTGTCCTCTTCACAAAGGAGGAACCTGCAGAACTGCTCAGCCTCATGACCAGAATGTCAGCGCTTCTGAACTTTCAAACTTTGACCCTTTCGCTCTTATTAAAATTAACAGTGGAAAACGTATCCCGATTAACGGCCTCGGGCGGCATCTCTCTCCTCCCTTGACGGGTTATATTTCACCCCGCTGACACCGCGGCGTACCAGGACACGGTTACAGATGAAGGCTGCGCAGGGGAGAAGGGGGAAACTCCCTTGTCTAATTCCTGGTCTTGAAAATCCCAGGCTGACGGGCAAAATTCTTGGCCTGCTTTTCACGAGGTCACCGGGGCAGGGGACCCGGAGGAGAAGTTTTTGTTAAACGCTGGTGCCATGTCATGTGGGCAGGAGCGAGGTGCCTTTCAGAATTGTTACTGCTAAGCAGCCAGTAGAGAGGGACGGACACACGCACGCACACACACACGCTGATGTAGTGCTTCCAGCAGGAGTGTAAAACATCAGTGTGCAAAGACCTGGCTTAAAACCCCCTCGTTCCCCACAGGTAAGGCATGACCTCTGGAGCGTTAAACCTTGGTATTTCCATGTTTTATGACTTATCTGAAATGCAGACGGGTGCCAATCTCTTGAGCCCTGCGTGAATACAAAATCGATATCTGCAGCCACGTCTTCATCTGCAAAAATCATCCACGGCTATCCCCCTCCACAGCTCCACAGATATCTGCAGATTTGCTGGGCTCTAGATCAGGGTTCCCTCTAAGGTTTTCCATCTGTGAGTGGAGCGAGTTTTGTCTTGTGCACCAATATTGATGCCTGGTGCACAGCCTCACCGCAGCCCAGCTCCAGCTGTGGCCTATGGGGCAGTCTTCCTCCCTCCCCCCCCGCTATGCTGACCCCCACTGCCACCTGGGACTGTCCCCAGCAGACCCGCTGCAGCGCCACCTGGGCTGTATGATGGCTGCACCCGGGCGGGGCCGGGGTGCTATTTTTAGCACCAGTGCCCTGGCCCAGGAGCAGCTG